AGTAAACGATACAAACAGCGTTTCGAACTGTTCAACTCTCAGACAATGTAGAGAAAAATATAGTTTGTTGACTTCATTTTTATTAAAAATTCTCGTCGTCATTTTTTATGTCAATAAAGTTCACAATAATGTCTTTTGAGTACCTATTTTTAATTGATGTCAACAATTGACAGAACGATTCATTTAACACGAGACACTCAATATATTACAGCTAAATAATTTCCATTTGTAGTTCTTTTTGAAAAATATGTTTTGTAATATTGTAAAAAAAACATAATATTTTACAATATTATAAAAACAATTAAATACTTACATTACTTACCACATTAACGAGTAAAATATCTAAAAATACAAGTTACCATTTCAAAAGTTGATGTCTCCAAAAAAACTACAAAACTGTAACTATTTTCAAAGAAATAATCAGTGTCTTACACTAAATAAGTCATCCTTTAAATTGTCAATGTAAAATCAACACCATCGTGTATTCGCTTACCTGATAAATGTATTAACTTCTATTTTTTTTTAAAACCAACCAAAATTTGAACACTGAGAGTTTTGAGTACTTCTAGATATTTCATTAATCTCGAATGTGATTCAATGTATATACTACAATACACCCTAATGACCAGGGTGGTTTTTGGAACATTTCCAATAGTTGCACTCGTGTCAATTTTGACTCTCCGTTGAACAAATATAGATAAGACAATGATAAATCTTTAGATAAAGTGCATTTTGAAGTCCGTTGCGTTCGGATTTTGGGTTACCCTTAAGTATACAATATGGAAATTATTGTGCTATTTCAGACCTATTGTAATGACTACTAATAAAATATTATTGACGGTTTTTTTTTTACGAATAGGTCATTTTTTATTTATAAACAAAAAAAAACAATAATAATTTGAACAATCCAAACAAAATAATTAAGTAATCTGTTAATCATAAATTGCAAATGTATTATAATATATAGCTTTTGTTTTTTACTTTATCAAAAAATCACTCGTTAGTAGTTTCCAAACTATGGTACTTACAATATAATTTTACAACAGTAGCTATGTAATTTTTTATCATAAAATCAATACAATAAAAAATATACTTGCTCGGCTGTCTTGAAACTTTGAGAACGTTCTTATATAGCTGTGTCTGAAATATCTAAACAATTGAGGGGTTTTTTTTTTGTTCTAGTGAACAAAAGTCCGATACGGATAACGATCCCTTGCAATGGGTTCCTTAAATCGAACGACGCTTGACATTCAAGATCATTATATTTGTGTCTGTATATATAGATCCAATACATGCTGAAACTCGTTTGTCATCTAACCTCCTACAGTGGCCCCACCACCTACAATATGTACATATATCCCGTTTGGCCCCTGATCACATCCCGTGTTCATTATTTTCCCATGACAGTCCATTTAATTGAGTGCTCGTGTAGTTTGTTCGCCTGGCGGACACACACACACACAAAGTCTTTTACTTTATCCCGTGTGTCTTACCATTGATTTTTAATTGGACGGCTACTGGATTTGTCCGTGGACCGACGACGAAGACTAATGGTCTTGGAACCCGAGCAATTTCGGGACGCTGTCACAAGGAGAAGAGTTAATCTGGATTCCGGGGGACAAAATTGCAAGTCTTACATGTGTGTGTGTGTGTGGGAATGAATGACCATATACAGGAGAGGAAGTAGTATGAAATATATATAGGAAACAACACAAGAAGAATAATTGTGAAACTCTAATTCTCTTTCGCATCTTTATTTTTTTTTTCAAGGAATTCACACATCATATTTTATGAACAAATAAAAGCATAACAATGCGTTTGACACATTTGCTTCCCATTTCATCTTATTTCAAATAAACACCTGTCATGTTAACTTGTTATTTCCTACTTCGCGTACATCACATATGGGACAAAACCACATATTACAGTTTTCAGCCTAACACATATTATGTATTGGTTTATTTTCTTAAAAAAAAAAAATGGAAAAGTAAGTTTAAACACCGAATGAAATATTAAAACAAAACGATTAAAACATGTATTATGTTCTATTGCCTAGCATAGAAGCAAACATAATAGTATTGAAATACAAATGACACAACCAAATATCACATCATTGATAGTATTAAGTATAGTGACTAGAATTATCATAAAGTTAAAAGTAGAAACCAGACTAAAGAACCAATTATATTTTTTTTAAATTAACAATACAATTTATTCAAACCACTTTAGTAAATTGTTAAGCTATACATCCTCACAGACACATACATCTAGGAAATCATTATAGATACCCATAACTTATTGTATAAGTTGAAAAAATTCCTTATAAATTAGTGCATTGAGCAAATTTCTAATTTTATTAATTTATAGGGCAGTTAGTCAGTATCCTATAAAGTTCCTTATTAATCATTACTATTATGATTATTACTACTAGCCATTAGGTATATATTTTGTATTCTTTAAGAGGCTGTATCTCCAACGTCATTACTTATCCAGCAATTTATTCATTGACGATTCAATGTAATTCATCCCATATACTTGTTCCTCTCACATGATACACATTAAACAGCGCACTTAGTTAAAAAAAGAGTAACAGGTGCCCGAGAAAGCGGCATAGCGCTTTCAGCAACCGCCCGTAGATTCATTAAAAACTTTAAACCGTTAACCTGCAATATGATAATTTGAGACTGAAATAAAATAAAAACTTCCAATATCTCTTCTTGCCAAAAGTTCTTTGCTACACTATAGCCGTTATGGCGTGGTCTCTGTAGTCGATTTTATGTATCTTTTAATTGTGTATAACTTAAAGTATACACTTTTAGTCATTAACTTATTTTAAACAAACAATACTCGCGTCGTCGAAACTGAAATAATATTTGAACTCGAGTTGTTTGAAATAACTTTTTATCGAATACACACTTTACCAAAAAGTGTACCAGTAACAAATATTGTGCGTACACCGTACACTTTGGAGTGGTCTGGACAAATAACCGTATCGAATTTGGCTGTTGAAAACAAGAATCGAGCAAGACGCTTCTTGATTTAATACTTTCAAACGAGAAAGACACACTACAATAAGAAGGTACGTCTATCTTAAAAGGAAACTCTCGCGTTTCTCGACAAATCAGTTTTTCGTCTGCGACGGACGTAAATAAACATACGGTTTTTTTTTTCATAAGACAGTCGCAATTTCTCGGAATCAATAATACTTAACCGTTTCCCGTCGTGTGGCTTTGTGGTAAATGATTTTGTTAGAAAAGTTCTAGTTCTCGACAATAGCTGCTTGCCGATCTCTGATTGTATTGGTCGAATGCTCCGTTAAGCTCAAAGAAAATATATATGTGTTCACTCCAAGACACAAACTACTTCTTCGATTTTTACAGAGTCGGTGTATGTAGGTATGTGTTCTCTGTAGACGAATCAATTTAGTGGTCCTGCCCATTGAGGCGATTTTTTTTAAATATTATTAAATCAAAATACTTAGGCCTCACACTCTCATACAGACGCCTTACTCACGGTCAGATCCAACGGCAAACAACCGTTCTATAGGTACCAGCTAATTGGCAAATTTTCTAAAACTAATACAAACATTACAACCCAAAGTTCGCCGTCTAATCCTTCATCAAGGCCCTTCGTATGTGTTAAACGAATCAATTCACAACGACCTACGCTTACCGACAGTCATAGAATCTGCAAAAGATTTCATTCCCGCCTTTGAAACCATCCTAACCCACTTATAAGTTCACTACACATCTTATCTCTCTCCAACGACGGTTCTCCTATCCCAGAAAGCCTATCGAATAATCGACTGCAACTCCTATCTTATTCCTCCTGTCCTAATCCACCTTACCCTCCTGTCATAACCCCCATAATTAAATCAAGCTAATAACCGGGCCATCGTTAGAGGGCTTCTTTTTATGTAAATCAATGCGTTATGTTATTATATTAACTTCACCACAATTACTTGTTGTATTTTGACTTTTGTTGTTTTTCTAATAAATAAATAACAAATTCTTAGGAGAAAAATAGTTACAGGATTTCAAATAAAAAAACTGTGCTTACAGTTTAAAAAATAAATCATGAATTAATAAAAAAAATGTATTTATCGAGAAAAGAAACCGCTAAGGTGTTATATTTCATCTTTTACTGATGACTCGCGAGAGACCTCACCTCCATTTTAGTGTTACAACATGATATATTGACTATTTTTATTTATTTAGGTAAAATATTGTGAAATGGTCAACAATTTTCTTTAAAAAAAATTTTTCTAAGAAGAAAACTAAATAATAAATAAACCTCAGAGATTTTAAAAATACAAATTAGGGCTATATTATAGTATAATATAGGCCTAATTTGTTATATTATAGTATAATAAATGATTTATAATATTTGATAAACTTATTTCTCGAGTATATATATTTTTACTGCACCTCACAGTACTCAATACCGTTGGTTATTCTTTTTTATTCGATCCTAAGATTGGTTCTCAGCCATTCTCCATTGTCCATCTTTTATTCGCTTTTCTTTTAATCGTTTCAATCTTGGTCCTTTACCATTTGTCGGATGTACTCTAAAAACGCGGTCTTTCTCTGTGGTTTTTCCACACCGCCCTTCTATGTAGTATTAATCCAAGTAGTCCACGGTGCATTTGGTCATATAGTACCTACATAATAATATTATTATTATTAATCAATGCCAATACCTAGTGTAGTCATTTTTTTTTCTACCCCAAACGATTTCAGGAGCAATCGTTATTATATTTTGTTTTTATTGTTATTATTATTTCCTTAAGGGTAGGCCGAAGGGTGGCAGCGCAGAAGGTTAGCCAAGGGGGTGGATTTGCGGCATGAGCCTTTTTTGGGGGGTGAAACGAACCAGCAGTCGGCAGAGTTCGGGTGCCATCGGCGCGCGCCAGCGTCGTCTGTCGGTCGATGGCTGATGACGATGAGAACGACCGGCGTCGCACGCTGCCTGCACCGCGAGGCCATCAGTCCGCGGACGAGCCCCACCGTTGCCGGGTCCTTAACAATGTGCTCGCAGCAGCTGCAGCAACCGTCGTCGTCGCCGCCGCCGTGTCGTTACCGCGACCGCAGTGTTACCGCCGTGATAACGCCACGACCGTTCGATAACGCGAAAATATAATATTATTATTGCTAAATAATTGTTTTTTGTCAAGACGAATAACGGTTAGTATTAATTTTTTATATATACTTAACTACGACGTATTCCGTGTAAGTCGTTTTTTTTTCAAAAAATATAATATAAACACTGTTATCGCGTCAGCAGCTGACGCGCGCGTGTAGTGTGTATCCTTCGCGTGCGTGTGTCCGGTTGTTATCGCGTCGAACAAAATATTAACAACAACAAACAGCTATCAAACGTGCTAAAACAACAACAACGACAACAACAATAATTAAAAACGACCGATGGACGATCAACGAACGACGTGAGAAACCAACATCGGCTTATCAATACAAAGTAAGAGTGTGATAATAGTATAATTTTTACCAGAGCCAATTTGACCAGCTGATAACACCACTAAAAGACATCAACGCTCGTTTTTGCACAATTACAATTTATTATTATGTCTTTCTACACCTATTAATTATAATATTAAATAAAAACAATTTCGTTATCATTAAAATTGTTAGGTCAACGTTTAAAATTACTATCGATAAAAATGTATAGTAAAAAAAAAGAACTACATTATACGCAAAAATAAAAGAGCATGCTAAATTTAATTTTTCTCTTGAGAAAATGCCACTTCACTATTGTCTTTTATTAATTAACGCCCACGGTATGTTGTTTTCTTGGATAAGATAAGAAAAAATAGTGGTAAAACTGATAATATAGTAGTAAAATAATAGTAAAATTTATCGCATAGGTAGTAATGGTAGTTTTAGACATACAACAAAACATAATAATATCTCCGATAGTAAGTGCAGTTTTTAATGCAGTCGTCGTTGTTTTTGTTTGTAAAAAAAAAACATAAATGACATAATAAAAACAACTAATATTATCGTTAGTACATTTTTTTATTTGACCCAAGATTATTTGCCGCAGATATAAAATGAACACAATCGTTGTTTTAGTTCACTCGACGTGCACACATTAGACACATAATATCTGGTGTCAATTTTAATTTAACTGTAGATCATTTTTCGTTGTTTCTTTAAACCGGTGTGCTAAAACAGTAATCTCTAGTGACCAAAATTTCTAATACGCATTAGTCAATTATAATCATTAAAAAAAATATGGCCATAAACATAGGATATTGCGCAACAATCTAAAAGTTTAAATTATCAAATGTTTTTTTTCTTGGGCTGTAAAAAAAGGCCAGGAAAAATTTTAACTAAAATTCTAAACAATTATTAGTTAATTCAAATCGAAAGTAACCACTAATAAAAGTTTAAGTACACGATTAGTTTTGGTTTTTTTTTTATTTGCAGTAAAATATTGAACTAATTAAATATTTTAACGATATCGCCAATCGGTGTTGAATGTTGATAGTAAATTTGTTCATGTATAATTGCAGTCAAAATCATAAGAAATTATTGTTTTAGCAATGAACTCTTGAAATTGCTTATCATCATTCAGACCATACGTGTTTTCATGTTTAGATTTTTAATTGTTATTGTTGAGAAAATTAATATTTATTGTCAAGGTACCCACCAATAGGGGTTTAAAGGTTGGCAGCTTTTACCTCTAATTTTAAATCTTTAATAGCTTCCTTGGCAAAGGTACATAAACCTCTGCGAAATTGTAATCTTTATCACAGCCTAGATAAATTATAATAAAAGTATTAAAACTCGTCAACGGTTTGAATATTTTAATTATTGATTATTTAAAAAAAATGTCATTTATTTATCTTTAGAAATTAGGTGATTTCAGTACTATCACAACCTCTATGGTATTCATTAGCGGAAACCCTATTTTCACATTACATAATGAGTATAACGTCATCTTAAAGCTGATCTTAAAAAATAGGCGCAACTAAGTGGTAAATGACAATTTTATGGAGTTATTACCACAAATGTATAATATATAATCTACGAGTACTGAGCAATAACTGCCAATTGCTTTCTTTATAACTTAAATTTTACAAATTATACTTATACTAAAGCATATCTTCAATAGCGAAACAAAAATGTATAATTTTAATTTCTTGACCAGGCTTAACACAATATGTACTAGTGTCGCATAGCCTCATGTATTGTTTCATATTCTTTTCCACTTATAGTTTTTTTTTTTTTTTAATGGGATTTCGTTTATTCAACACTATAGCTCGACAATATTGTCTAACTAAAAAATAAATGATCAACGTGTGATAAATATTATACTACAATATATTGGTGTGTAGGTATATAGTAATAAGTAATGATCAAAGAACATTAACAATTAGTGTATAGTTGAAACAGTTTATTAAGTCATATTACATGCGTGGAATGTCCTTTCTTCTTGATTGCCATATCCTAAGGCCTATTATCCCGTTGCCCATCTCTCTATCTCCCCATCTATTGTTTTCTCACCTAATACCGTTCACCCGCTTGTCCTTCAACATTCGCCATAAATATATTTTTTTAGAAACTTAATTCCCTGTCTACAATCCCCTGTACACGCGATAGAAGTACCTACAAAAACAAAAAAAAGTAGGACCCTCGAGTGACCCTTTAATCCTTTTGCGTGACAATATTTTACATTCACGGGCAAACGAGTTGGTGGTAGCTTATGTAGATATTAAAATAAACCCCGTTCAAATAAAAAACAGTTCTTTGTTTTGTATAATATTATAAAAAATAAAACTCAACTGAAAATGTGTTACAGACTGTGGTGCTGGGACTTATAAATGGGAGTTATAAATGTGCCAAAACATATTTTTAAAAATATAAAAAGTTACTTCTTCGGTACTGTTTAATTAAAAATATAATACCTATCAAATCATGTATACCGTGTTGTAGTTTGTACCAATTTGTACTTTCAATTTGTCTGAACTTTAATACTCTTAAGTAGACGTTACGTTACGTTTTCGGCCAACAACTACCACTCGAAAAGTTTTCAAGAATAATAGATATAACTTCATTTTATATGCATCGGAAATTCCTTTGTGAAAATAAAAAGCAAACAAAATATTTTTTTTTCTCCGGTACGCTACTAAACTTTGTTCCAAAAGTTAGTATAATAAACTTTGTTTACTTTTATCCGAAATATTCTCTAAACACTGTTGTTTTTGGCAGAATTGTTATTTTTAATACTTACAACATTGTGTACAATATTAAACCCTTTTACTTTATAAATTTGTTTTGAAACATCATAATAATTATGTGCCGGCAACAACAAGTATAATGTTCACGTTGTATTAATTTATGTATGTCTTACATTTACAGGGTCTTAAGTAAAAGAAGTCATGGCTTCTTCGTTGGCTATATCGACGGTTATTTTTGTAACCTGCGTGGCGTGCTACTACAACAGCCTCAATTGTGACTTTGTGTTTGACGATATCAGTGCGATAAAGGATAACCGGGATTTGAAACCACAAACTCCAATTTGGAACATATTTTACAATGATTTTTGGGGCACGCCGATGCATAAGGTTTGTATTCAAACATGTTTATTTTAAAATTTGTATTTATTCTATTCACTCTAGAATATACTATCTAGGTAATTGAAAACGTTAGGCTAGCCAAAATTTACATTGTTATATTTGTATTATACAAACGGAGCAATATAAAATATTATAGGTTAAAAAATTATTAAAACTTGAGTAGGGAACATTATAGGTGGCTTATTATATGGGTTTATTTTTTATTGACAGGTACTATTCCATATGCGCATACGTTTATTTATTATACTTGAAAATATAAGACGTTAGATATGCTCATAACAAACAAAAATCTTTGAAAAAAATGTACAATATTAGTTTTTTTTCGTACAGAAATTGCACTTGAGTATGCTAGTTTGGCTGTGTGTTGTAGTAACATAATTTATGCATAGTAAACTAATTGGGTATAATTATTGTTGTTTGTTGATCGAAACTACACTTAAAATACAATTGGGAAAAGCCATCAAAGTGTAGTATTCGAATATAACCTTGTACCAGTCGATGGGCATCTGAAAAACATTTGCATTATATCTATAATTGATTATTATGAGTACAATATGAGTTACAACTGTAACCGATTATTTAGATAGTCAGACGATCAACCCTTATTTATTGAAATATTAGCTTATAACAATATTTTGCTTCTACAATTACTAGCATCTTGAAATTAAAATATCTTCTAAAACTTAAAATCATCACATACAAAACATGACAGTATTTACAATACAAAACCAATTACTTAAGATTAAAGCTATTATTTACAGATTTGATAACGGGAATGGATGAAAGATTAAGAATAAAATTAAGGTTAAACTATTGATAACATTTTAAAATCATACATATTTTGCCCTTACGCGTTAGTGTTAGTTGTTTGAAAATCAACGAAGAATTTCGATGGGATTTAAGTTTTAACACTTTGGCCGCATTACAACAACGGTGGTTTTGATTGTGTTGTTGTTTCCATTTTGTTTTCAGGAGCAAAGCCATAAGTCCTACAGACCTTTGACCGTGTTGACGTTCAGATGGAACTACATGATCCATCAACTGGACCCCGCGGGATACCATTTGGTGAACATATTGCTGCACGCGTTGACCAGCGTGCTTTATTATAGGTAAGTCGAAATACGGTAAATAATCGTTTTCAAGAGATTTCAAGAATGATTTTAGAGCTAAATGTAATTTTTTCGGTGTGGCGACGTTTTGTTGCAATTCGTCTGTTTGTCATCATTTACACCATTCCAAACAGCGTTAACTGTTGCAACTTTGTGTGAACCTGGCCCGCCTCGATGGTGGTGTAGATTACAGAGAACGCGTAGGATTCGGTGCCTTGTACGACACCCATCCCTCCGTGATAAAATTATTAATCCCGGTGTAACGGTATCCGAAAAGCAAAACTTTCAGGAAACTTTGTACCTCTGGAAACCGCCTCTGGGCCCTAGAACTTAATACTGTACACTGTCGGGCCTATATATTATGTACCTTGTACTACTTGGGATTTACATTCACACGTATAGGTAGGTACACTACTATACGGATTACTTACCTCAGGTTTTTGTCGTAGTAGCGTGATCCAAATCAAAACGATAAACCATTGTGTATACTACATGTTGTTACTACACTTTGTTCAGTATGAAATGTATGTTTCCAACTGCAATAGAACATAATATACAATTCCGAAACTATAATAATATGTAGTCTTTTTTTTTTGGGGGGGGGGGAGAGCACTGAACCCCATATTAGAAACGCGTATTGCCTATAGTCAGGCGTGACTTTATCTCTTACCATAAGAGCCCGTGTAAAAATTTTATAGTCTCTTTACTGTTTGTTCTGTGATTTTAACGTCTATCGTGGAAAAGTAACGTAGCATTTTTCGCTTTCTATGAAATCGGTACACAAAATGGCTGCCTCCAAGGTCGAGACGTTTCATATATTGAGTTCAGTGGGCGAGAGCCTTTTTAAGTGTATTTTAACACTGCCGTTTTTATCTTATTCGATGAACAAGAAACGTTTTCGGTAAAACGACACGCCAAAATTATATTTACTCGCTTGTAGTGTACAACAGTCAACAGCTATAAACATAATTTGTCTGATGGGTGGTATGTATATTATTTGGATTGCGCACAAACTAATTCAAAAGATTCTTCGGTCGAACTATTCAGTGTACGCTGTATAATATTAATAATCTAATTGAATGACTAGAGTCGGTGGGTTGTGATGAAGTGGCGGATGACCGATTACCTATTATACTCGATGATGCTTCGAAGGCCGGATATACACTTCAACGGAACGGACAGTTTCCGATGAAATAGTCTAGAACCTAAACCCACTACATTTAATGATATTATGTACATTGTGCATACAGGTGAAACGGAAAATGCATCAACGATTGTGTTTACAGTACACTGATAATATGGTATGTCTGTTAAAACTGATTATGGCTCACAGTATGTTTAAATGAACAAAACGGCTTACACTAAAATTTCAATTTTTTTTTTCAAAACTATGAATACACTTTATTTTAAGTACTAGAAAAAGTATACATAATGGTTTTTAATAAAGAACCACGGTTACTACACATAATACCACGCATACCACGGATACCATATGCATAAAAAAAAATAGCTTAAGATTCTGAACATTTTTTCTTAGAAAAGTTGTTAGTTTTGATAAGAACTAAAATACACAGTTTCCACTGAAAAAAACGTGTTTTTGACCGTAAGCCGGCTATTTTGAATTTTAAACCAAATTTTTTTTTCGAACGTCTTCCTTACAACTCTAAAAGTCTCTAACTAGGTATATTCAAAATTTTGGACAAATCCAAAATATCAATGTAAAATATTATATTGTTTTGTTGATTTTGAATCGTGCAACTCCAACGGAGTACAATGCCGTGTGACACATTTAAAATAAAAATATAAGATTTTGTCTATGTGCTAAAGTCGACGAGTGAAAAATGTATTAAATTGTTGACTGTCAAGTTTAATGTCCTTGATCCGTTAACCGTGCCGCAGGTATTAGTTGCAGCCATCGTAATTTACAAGATGTAACAAATTTCTCTGTCAGAGTGCCGTATTTAATCAAGAAAACGTTTTAATCTAGACGAATTACCGACAGTGCTCATTATATTGTATTAATTTTGATAATTTTTCATTTGTAAAGTGAAATGCCCTTTCTCCGGCGAGGCCTAAACGTCGGCGAAGGGCGGTGGTAACTTGGTTTTGCACTAAAACTTACCAACAGCATGAGACGAGAAGCACGCTCTAATAATATAATAGGGCAGTTTTCTTTATCATACAATACCGTTTTCTTAGGAATTCCATTGCTTTTAAACCTGACATTGTTTATGGATCCCAGTTTTATATATTATATATAAATACACCTATAACCTTTGTGAGTAACGCAACGTGGAACGCAAACCCATTAATGCCACTTAAGACTGCGTTTACCAAACTTTGCAGCGTATTAGAAGACTTTGTTTATTGTCACCAGCACACTTTTTCATTTTGAGAAAAAGTTCTCTACACTTTATATTCTGTACCCGAAACACTTATTGAATCGGACTACTTATTACAAAATCACAAATACCCTTACTTGCTTTATAACTGTTAATAATTGATGCCAAACTAAGCACATCATTTTATATTATTTAATTTTTGAATAATATACGAAACAAGATGATATTAACTCGATAATTTTTCAAACAAAATAATTACATATTTCAGAAATAAGATGCTTTTTCTAAATATATAATATGAACGCTAAGAGTAAGGGCAATGAAATAAAAACAAATGTAATTTATATTCAGATTTTAGAACGTGTGAATGGGGAACTATAACTATATATATATATATATATATATTATTATTTTTGTAGATTCTAAGTAGTTGAACTTTTTAATTGTTTGGTCCAGTTAAGTGTTTCAACCATAAGTTCCCTGAGATTTATTTTTAAAATGTTAATCGATCGACGATCGTTCTTACTTGATTTACTCGCCCATGTTTTACCGGAAATAAAGTTAGTTTAGTAAAAATAGATTACTCGTGCGGAGTTATTTTAATTATATAGTAGCAAACAAATTGCGAACGATAATTAATTCCGCATAAGATAATTTTATTACGTTATACGAAAAGTTGCGTTAATGCATTTCCCGGGGTAGGTACATGTAACGTCGGCTAAAAGGAAAATTTTCACCAAATTCTAATTTGCTTAACTTTTCTCAGGCCCGCATTGTGTTCGAGCATCGACGAGCAAATAACTTTTAATACTGTGTGTACAGAGTGCAGTGTAGTGAGTACACATGCATTATTAAAGGCTGCGTAGAACAAGGCCGTTACGCGTTAGGGACTTTGCGGAAAATTATTACCCTTCCGCAGCTATTTAAAGGGTTATATATTCTTTGCCGTTTCTTTTGTCCATAGTTTGGTATAGTGTGTTTTGCACGTGTTTTAATCGACCCGTTCGGCCCTCTTACGTATTACAATAAACATGTCACTTAAGTGCGGAAAACGCCACCTCCCTTGCTCGAATACAAAACCACCATCAACGGCAACCAAGCGGCCGTTATCCATAACCTTTTAAGTATATACCGTATACGTGGTAAACGAGACTACAAATACGTGAGAACGTTACTGTTGACGGTCTACGGAAAAATAGGCTTTTAACGTTCGATTCATATTATTATATAATGTATGCAAAGGGACCACCAATAATGGAATAATAAACGGTGTAATGTCCAAAACCACTATACCCAGGCGACCCACGTGTAGTCTAGAAACTTACAATTTTCAAGCAAGTTATAAAACTATTTTTACAGCAGCCGGGTTAAGTTCGAAACAAATAAAAAAACTGCTTAAAACGAGATATTTTGTATTCATTTTGAATTTGCAATCATAAAATTGTGGTATCATAAAAATGATCAATATCATATTGTAATTTTAAAATATTCTAATTTGCTTATGCGTTTTTACCATCTTAACCCGTCAAAAATCGTCACAAGAATTGACATAATGGGAATTTAGCTCTGATTAGAAGAGATGTGCCTATTAGCTATAACGATGATTATTGGTAAACACTATGGTAATGATAAGATGGGTTATATTTAAGGATCTATAAAATAAATATGTTCTTTATCAACAGTTTCAAAATACATTGTTCTCTTCTATAATGTCACATACGTGTAAAGTTACATAGAAAAAAAACTATAAAAAATAATAAACCTAAATAAAATATTTTGTTTGTTTCAAACGAATGTTTGAATACTACATTTTTTTTGGAATTAAAAAAGTATAAGGCCGAGTTGTATTTAAATGTTTTTTTTTTAATTTGTTATTGCTATTTGAGCTTATTATTTAAGAAAAAGCTCTCATTTTGGTGGCATTCGTTTAAGTCTTATTTTTACTCTCTTATACCTAGTTTTATGTGTTTGCCAAGCCATTTCTGTTCACATGAATAAACCATAACCTATCTGCTCATACATTGTTGTTACGGTCATATTATGTTTTATTTATATTTTGTTAGGGTTATTTTTTTGAGGCTGAAATAGTTCATAAATTTACTTTCTTTAAAACAACATAGGTACATTCTCCCGTTTTTTTTCATGTACTCTAGAATGGGAAAAGTTAACCAATTATAATTAAAACACTAAACCTACTTGATAAATATTCATTTTGTACATAATAATAATAATATGTGTTATACAAATAATAATAATTGTGCTCGGAGTGGTTTAATTTATTAAACGTAGCCGGGACCTCTTCAAAGCCCCTGTTCTTAATGAAAACCCATAGGAAAAGTATAATATGAACTAGTGGCTGTGAAGTGAATCTGTATCATCATTATCTTAATGGAACGCTAAAACTTTTTACCGGCAGACAAAAGTTTTATGTCGTGACGTACCCTCAGGCTTTTCTATACCTTTAAATAATATTGCTTGGTGAATTTATACTTTTGCAATAATCATTTTATTGAATTTTTTTTCAGAGCTTGTCTTACTATATTGGGGTCACAATTCACCAGTTTTATGGCTGCTATACTCTTCTCGATCCACCCCATACACACTGAAGCCGTAAGTATTCATAGACTTATATATTTACTTTAATAACAATATAGTTTTATAAATAAGAATAAAATATTTTTTATAATATAACTATTAGTATGCTTGTTATGTAAAATGTTTTATAAGACGATCGACACAATAATACTGTTGTCCAATTATGCATGATAATTTAGTCAAATTACATTACATTAGTTAAATCACTTTACAATTTAAGCCTATTTAAAAAAATTATTAACTTACATATGTAAACTGAACAAATTAGATACGTTTATATTTTAAACTTGACGCTAGCTAAATAATAATTTAAAAATGGTTAGTGAAAAAACTGAATATCTTTTGGGGGAATTAACGAAAATAAGTAATAGTTATTATTATGTTCTTACCCTAAATAAAAATGCTCCGCCCGATAATTAAAAGCCACGCCCAACACCCATTCGTTTTAGGAACCGCATAAAATTAAAGTGGTAGCATTAACGTTTTTTTTTTTAACTAAAAATAATATCAACCGAGAGAATTTAAATAATTGTTGTGGTTTGTTTTTCTAAAACGTAGACGTTGGTGTATTGCGATGTGTTTATTATGTGTAGATAGGATGATGTTATTTATAAATTAAAGACTTAAGTCTAAAACTAAAAACGTTCCACGAGTAAAAATGTATTCATGCTGTATTGGTATTGATAATTTGTCCAATGTTTGATTTTACCAAAGCCTAGTAATTACAAAGTGTATTATTAGGGCCCAGAACATTTTTTTTTACAGAATGGTTTAAAAATAACTATACTCCGTTTAAAACCGAATATACCAGCGCAGAAAGTAGTACAATTTCGATTTACACTCAAAAGAATCTAAACTCAAAATTTGATTTTGCACATTTAAGGTTTTATCGTTCTTATATTTTCGATATTAACAGCATATTATTTTTTAAATTTTGCTTATCTAAAATTACCAACAAAATTATGGTAATTGGTCCGTGTGTAAAATGTGAATTTAATATAAATTTAAAAAAAAAAATGAAAACAATTTTTAACCGTATATTTTGGTATTTCTTAGTAAAACATATTAAGGACACAAATGCATACATATTGACAATTTAAAAAATATGTAATGCGTTATTTTTATAAGAACAAATATATAGATATGAGACACTGTAAGTGCCAAAAGTTAACAGTAGTCGATTTGCATACTGATAGACTTTATAAAAGAAGGGCCAAAGAGCGCGAGGAAGGGTACGGGGGTAAACGTTGTGTACGGAAGAAAGGGTTGTGAACATGTTAATAGGTTTGAGCTTGCACTAGTTGCGTGTAGGACAAGAGAGTCTTGGGGCCGGCCTAACCCGGAATAAGCATAAAAAGTTACCACGGTAAAGGGGTAGGTGTTGTTTTATTATCGATATACTATTAGCCTTTGGGCGAAATAACGCCCTTATATAATTACACAGCGATCCTACGATACCAACGCGCGATGCCTTATATAATATTATGTTATTGATCGTCGACGTTGTACATATAAAATATTATTGTAATATATGTGTGAGGATATATGTATATATATATCTAATACCTACTTACACTTACAAAAGACGGGGGCAAGATTTAAGGATATTGTGTGTAGACTTCAGAACGGTTGAGAAAGTGTCCATCAATTACACACAGCGTACGTGCTTGGACCGGAGATATTGTAGATTTAACGTTTACACACCAATATATAATGGCGTTTCGGATTTGTTATTCAACCGTTTCCCACGGATTTCGATGGCCGTCCGTTTTGGCATTCAGTATGCGCCTCGATGACACCACCCCTTTCTAGCTTAAAGTGCTTAAACGATAACACCGATTCGCCCTAACCCCCCGTCTTGGCGAATTCTCCGGATGTTCTAATCCTTTTTTTTTTTTTTGTCCACTTTAGCCGAGCCGTTTATTTAAGACATTGCACCGCCGCCGTTTGTGTACATTTACATCTCACGATGTTAAATTAAACCCCTACGGTCGTTTGTTCTCCCCCCCCCCCAGTAAAGTTGGGTAATAAACTTGAACGTACCGCGCATTCCTTTGTATAATCGTTAAACTCGAACGCGCTTAACGTTTTGACTTTTTCAATATTCACAAAGTGATTATATCATGTTATTTTTCTACTCTGGTTTCCAGCACGGAAGTCACACGGTAAATGTAAGTTTAGGTGTGTTGAAAAACTTGACGTTTTCTGCGTCGTTATTAGTTTTTGCAATTTTATGTATAAAAAAAAAAAACCAATTTTTTCCACAATAGTACTAAAGTTAATTAAAAATATCAATCCTTGTTTCTTTGAAAAATTAACTAATTAAAGATTGCTATCGTACCTAATTTTTTAAGGTAATTTTTTTATTTGTCCTCGCATTGTCATGCAGAGAAAAACGATAGATGGCCGAATTAGATTACAACACATATACCGGATGACGCTTTTAACGCCCTACACCATTTTCCTTTTAAAATGATTGAAATTTTATAGTTTTTCTTTTTGAAAACATTTTTGTTTGTGCTATATTACAGTATTCAAATTTTTATCTTTTAAGTTGTATTTTCTAGGGCTTTGTCGACTTTTAAAAATTTTAATGTTAACGTGTATATTTTATTATCAATTTGATAATAAAAATGTAATATTTCCTATTTATGAAAATGCAATAGACTTACTTAGAATGCAGGCGTTAAAATATTCACCGCTTAATTCTTTGCAAAGTTTAGAGGTTGAATTGTGTTTTTTTTTTTTATCATTGTATCGTGGTGGGTGTGCTATGCTCTGAAATCTGTCAAATCAATTAAATTGTATTAAGGTAGAAGTTATCATTGAAAAAATATTATTTTCAACGAACTGGTAATAGACAAATAGTAAACCACAAAATCCACGGTGTTGACAGTATTTTTGCATTATTTAGTCGGTAAAAATTTAAAAAAAAATCCAAAATTCGAAATGTATGCCAATAATAATTATCCTCAGTAGAACATTATGTTTCGTTGGGACAATTAACTTTTTATTATTCGCGCCGGTACCAACGCGTTTTTAACTAATAAGCACAACTTTGCTGCTGTTCTGTAGTTTTATAGAATTATATAATAAAGTTTCAGAGCTGCAGAGTAATCGGTAACTTTACAAATCCGGCGCCGGCCAAGTATAAAGTTTCCGCGCGGTAAATACAACATATATAATAATGTAATCTAAACGTTTTTGGCTTGAGGAGAAAAACAAACAATTAACGGAGTTGGACGTGAAGAACGCGAAAACAAGTTAAACCCTCTTACGGCATACTAGGTATATAAAGGTTAGCTGACCCGACCCGAACTCAGGTGTAATTGAGTTTTTAGATCCAAGTAAAAACACTGAACGTTTCAATTTTCCAACAGAGACGAGACGTTTGTCCGGCAGAGAACACATTCGGTAAACCCTCGCCGACCTTAGTTCTAAATGTATCCATACTAATTAAACAAATGACGGGGGCGAAACAACTTAAGTAGTTTTTCGCCGAAAGCCCTTTAAGCGTGTCCCGAGCTTTCGTTGCCGCAAAAAGGGAGGATTGAATACTTTAGTATGGTAATTATTGATTATAACCATTTTTGTTTGTTGCCACTTACCTGGCTATAATAAATATATCAATATATATATATATTATATATATATATATATAATAATCATATTAAGTACTGAGCAGATAAGAATAGGTACGGCTCATTCAGATTGTTGAATTTAATGCAAACACTTGCATGTGCACTTAGATTATGCGCATTTTAATTATTCAGCTATTTTAGTGTAAAAATAACATACATTTTTTTATTAAGTAAAATGGATCAAAACATAGTACCGATTGTTTTAATATTTTTATTTAAAAAAATATAAATAGGCATATATATTATTTTTAGGTAATTACAGAAATTCTACTTTATTTACATATAATAATGGAGTACGAAAATTTCTGGGTTTTTTTTTTTTGGTGGGTTACCATTATATTTTTAAAAATAATTATGTGTACTTAATAAAACTATACCAGAAAATTGCTCAAATTTGCCCCCTTTTTTAATTACGAATTAATTTATAGCCGTTTTTCATTTATTTCTTATAGATAATTCTATGACTTTGAAAGATTTTAATTGTCGGTGTCATAAAATTGGACGTACTGTATTTTAAGCATTCTTTTGATAACTTGTTTAATCATTTTTGAACATGATATTACTAGACTTTCTGTACTCAATATATTATTGACCAGCTAAATGTTTTAATTCCTCCCACCGTGTGCGCCGTTTACACGTTTACTTATGCTTATTTTTTCAAGAAGAAAGAGTGTATATTATTATCGTTCGTTCGGTTTGGATACACTTGGCCTGTTGTCGTTTGTCGTTGGTGTTTTTTTTTTAATTAAAAACGCTTCTGTCGATATATGATATACTTTTTTAATATTATAAGCGCGATTGCCACGTTAAGGTGCGGGTCTCGTCGTTTAGCGTGAAAAATCGAACCGATACACGGTGTTTCCAAATGGCGGCTCATATGGATTTTTTTAGGCCGTGATTGACAGAACAAAGGCAGAGTCAAAGACTCGGCGGTGAACCTTTTGTAAATTCATTTGTGCCTGTCGGTGAGACCTCCGAACGACGTGTGTTTGACGTCGGGGGTGGTAAAAACACACCCTCCATAAATCATCGTGATCGTCTGTCGATACGGGTTTGGGTGGTTGTTTTTTTTTTTATGGACAACGATTTACGCATCGTCTATATTTTTTATGCGGCTATCAAATTTTTTAATTGATACTCGATAGCATCCTCTATACACCTATGTATATATACAATATGACGCCTGGCGTACTGCTGTGTTGTATGCTTATGTTTTATTTGTATTGTAAAATCAAATCCTCCCCCTTCCCCCCCCCCCGGTAATCCCAATACTATCTGGTAGTAAAACACACCCTCCCTTTACCCTCGGGCGGACCAATTAAATGCGATCCTTGTAAAGCTCGTCAAATTTTGCCAATCGTTAAACGATATCGTTTTTCGCGCTGGTACATGTATACCGGTCAAATAACGTTGTGTAATCCTGTTAATACTGTTCATCGCTAATCGGTTTATATCTGTGTGTGTGTGTGTGTTTGCATAAAGATTACAGGCGACTGAAATTCAATCAACGGGCTTTTTGGCCGGTCATTAATAACGAATTTTACTATTGAAAATAACCGTAAGCCGTTTATGTCTACTATAACTATTTCCATATGAAACCAATATGCAAAATATGTTATTACACATTATTGTTGTACTAACGACCCAATTTGGAAATGCGCATAATCATTATAACAATTTCATCGTCCAAAATAATCTATAAACAATTTTACTAGAATACGTCGGACAAAGAATGGTTCCCAAAAGGAGACTGCTCGGAATAGATTAACATACAACAATTACTATGAGCCGTAGCGGAAGTGTATTAATTTCAATTTTATCTAATTGTGTTGGCTGAGGATCGTCCGACTAATTGTCATTTAACATGCACGGCTGGACCATTAGCAAACGACCGAACAATATATACAGTGTATAATCTAATGTGCAGTATCGTTAGGGGTGGGCTTAAGCGTGGCTCAAAAGAAGAGGGAAACGAGGATCGCTATTGGATAAGCACAGTGTAATACTTGTTATAGTTGCACTACACAGTAAGGGTAGTCGGTAAAAATGATAATGATTTTAATACTCTAATTTAACCAAATTGGTTTGTAGTACTTACTACCGGCTTTAAACATATTACATGCCACTACTATAGTTTAATTAAACACTTGCTATACGCGGCAATTGAAATATTTTCCAATTGTTTTGTTGAGGTTTGGCGGAAAATTTACTAGTATATTTGTTTGATGATTTTAGAAAATAATGCATATATAATTATTACTTACTTTATATAATAGCTAGGAAATAATATTGGCATTTAATTTCCTGTCAAAAACCAGCTGTATGCATAATGTGATGATTTCTAAACAATGTTATGGTTTTCAGTGAAACAAAATCATTAAGGCTGACACACTAACAATTATCAAAGTGTACAACTATTGATGATTTTTTTTTCTCTTTTTTTTTTTGTCCAGGTAACCGGCGTGGTGGGACGAGCGGAAACGTTATCTTCGGTGTTTTACTTGTCCGCCTATCTGTTGTACACGGAAGCGTCCAAGAGAAAAAAATGTCCAGGTAAACAACAATAGGCGTTTTGTTTAAAGCGTTAATTAATTAATTTAAATACAAATGCACTGCGGCCGCGTGCAGCTGTATAGGTTGCTGCATTGTTACTATGTTTTTTTCATTTGTGACTGTGTGTGTGCTTTTATTATTTCATTTCAGGATGGAAGCCTTTAATATTATCCGTGGCGTGTTTGGGTATAGCCATGCTGTGCAAAGAACAAGGGATTACCGTGGCCGGGGTCTGCGCTTTTTATGAAATTTTCGTGGCCCAAAAAGTGAGTAGTCGATTTGATATTATATTTGTTTGTTTATTAATAAAAAATAAAAATAAAAAAAGATTACAATACATTAAAGTAACGTTTTTTAACAACTGGGGTTTTTTTTTTTTTTAATAATAATTATTACGATTGTTATTAAAACTTTTCGTTTCCACTTTGTAAAGTAATTTTACAATAATTACCGTTCGGATGCTTAAAAAATAAAATATTCATTCGGACCCTCGGTAGAAAAATGAATTTTTAATAAATGCTTTTTTTTTTACTTCTCAGTTGTGTTTGTGTGTGATATTTATTTACATTATAATAATATCGATTAAACGCCACAGTAGAAACTTGTACTTAAAATGCCGTCCACTCGACTCGGTTACTGTTTATTATTTTTAGTGTAATATAATATGTATAGGAAAAAGTTGGGATCGACCAGTCTGAAATAGCTGAATTTTAGCGTAGAGGACTTGATGGGTTTTTTTTTTTTTTAAAGAACAAAGTCTTATGTTAATCGTTAACGAATTTGGAACCGTTGTGGTAAAATTATTATTGGATAATTCTTCTCAATTCAATGTCGGGACTGAAACTGAACCCTAACAGTTTTTACACTCAAACGAAATACGATTCAAACACCGTATAATTATGATGTGAACATATTTTTTGTATTCGCACCGGGATGGGTTTATCTGGCCTCGTTAACTCGTTTACCCTAACCCTTCCGGCTAACGTTAATTCCGTGTCTCCGTTCTTTTTTACATATTAATATTATATTATACATATTATTATACGGCCGTCTCGGCTACCTAACCGAGCTATATAATATGTACAGTTGAACAAACAAAAATGCGTACCGAGCTACCATTTTTTTCCTTCTTAAATCGCGGTAATAATACCCTTTTTTTTTTACTTTTATTCCGACAAATTAATTTTTTTCCGTTTCATCCGGATTTTTTTTTTGTTCTCTTTACTATTATAATATATTTACTGAAACCTTTTTTGAACGGACTGCGTTAAAAAAAAATTGCATCTTCGACTAGCGCTCCGTTGAAATTATATTATTTGATTTAAATTTAAACGGTACTTTTGTATTGCTTTGGCTTTGCTTTTTGCAGTTCTCGACGATAACGAACGGTAATCTATTCGTTTATTACTGAACCACAATAAAAACTAGTTATTTTCTACTCTTCACGAAAAAAACATTGATCTCAGGATAATGTTATCCATACTAATAGTATACCTGTTATCGCTTATCTCTTATATTTTATCATTTATATCTTGTCTATTATCTCTAACCTCTTAACAATGTTGTAATTTTTTTTCGGCATAATCCTACACTTTCACTTTTACGTGATAGAGATGAGAAAAGTGATAAATGATAAGGGATAAGCACAGATATAATTCTGTAACAACTGTGAATAAGTGTGTAAGTCAGATTTTGGTCAAAATTGACTAAGTACGCTAGGATGTAGTCCGAAGCGCCTACACCTTGAATAAATGTCTAATTCGTTGGACCAACAAGAAAACTTTGAGAGAGATGCGAGTTCCTGATTATTAAATGCTGATTTATAGCAGCAGGTCAGTTTGAAATCGCTCCCCTGTAAAATCGCTGAAATCGACTTGCACACTTATTCACAGTTGTTACAGATATATAACAACTATTGATAAGAATTGAAGTCGACATCTGCCATTTTTTTTTGGGATTTATGTGTGTGCAAAATATGTCTGTGCTATCCTATTACCTTGTAATCGATATAGACATTGATAACAGTTACAAACATGTGATAAGGTTCTAATTCCCATTTAAAGATGGCGGAAAATAGTAAATTCAATTATCTCTATTGGCGGCACGTACACTTAATCCCTAATCTCTTAACTCTACCCGAAAGTGAAAATGGCGACACGAAATTTCTTGTATCCAGCCCGATTAACATAGGTACTATCCGTGTTAATAATAACGATAAAGTCATCGGTTTACCGGGATTTGCTGCAAGCAAAACACCCGTCGAGTGTGCGAAACCTAACGATTGTATATTATTATTATTTATGACAACAGTTGTAAATAATTGAAACTATACAAACGTATATATATAGTGTGTGCAACAACACAGCAGAGGTGTCCTGTCCGTTCTGACTCGATGGCGGCGGCATAAGCGCTTGTTGATGGATTCTATTCGTCGTCGTTGCAGAGAGAGAGAGAGGGTGCGACACAGAAATAAATCAAATTAACTCACTTCGCTTCGGTGTTCAGGACAATGTTATTAATCCGGACATAAATCCCGGCGGTATTAATGAAATTGCTTATATACACGTCTAGAGCAGACGACGTGATAGCTATATGTCGAGCTTACTCAATCGCCGTCGTCGTTAGCAAACGATAGTTTTAGTATTTTAAGAAAATATCGAACCGCCAAATGGCCGTTCCGGTTTAATGCCTGCGTGTAGTGCAAAATAGTTGCGGGTTGAATCGATATCGTTAACAGAATATATCAGCGAGACGTTTACATACCACTACTAACAACAGCGTTGAAATCTGTCTCGAGTTAAAGACGAAATAATCCCGCTCAAAGCGCCAACGAGGAGTTGCACTGTACAAAGCCCACTATACTTTATGTCCGTTTCTTTTTTAAAAATATCATATTATTTTAGCTTCGATGCGATTAGCCGAGAAGATATTGGTTTTGTAAAGATGTGTGTACAGCCGCGATAACATTTTTTCCTATAGCCCCTTTATAGATCCGAAATCGTATGCAGATTATACTTTTGAGGGTCGGCGGTAGAAAAAGTCAACTCCTTAATGCTCGAAACCGGGAAAACCCGAAAAAAATTGACCGGTTCAACAATAATTTGCTACATCTTGGCGAAAAACGTTGTGTGTGTTTAAACGGCAGTCCGACCTAAAAAATCCGTTTCCCGATTTTCCAAGATAAAATATATATATATATGTATATGAAAGGGTTAATAATGAAAAGTACGTATTTTAAGAGTGTCGTTTGTATTTAAACGTACTTAGCGCGGGGAGGACGGCGACGGTGAAATCGATTTCTGCGGCCAACGAGGGTCACACTACCGCGAGGGTTTTATTTTTTATTATTTAGTGTATATTGTATTATTATATGTGTGTTTGTGTTGTAAACACACACGAGTTTATAGCCTTGTTCCCCTATTGTCAGCTTGAAAAAATAAAAGAGGAGAAAGATTAAATGGCGTAATATCCGATGTAATAATAATATTTTTTTTTGCCAAGTTGAAAGTTTTTCGGTCCTGTGTACATAAATTTCAATTGCAACCATTGTTACCGTGGATTTTATGACTGCAGACTCTCTCTATATGTACGCGGGCAGCCGGTGGACATTGAAAATTCAATTGAAACCATATTGTGCACAGGAAGAACTAACAGGACAAAGTTGAAAACAAATATTTTAATTCGAAGCGAAACGTACGAGAACAACGCACAATTCAAATCAATTGTATTGGAAAATTTGCAATGCTGTATTCTGTTAACAGTTAGGTTTTACGATGAAGAACTATTTTTCTTTTCTTTTTTGGATCATCCACAAGAATAAAATATTAGATATTTCGAGCAATTGTAATTAACAATTATCATAAGTACTTGTCATATAACTATTTTGCAGAGATATTTTCTCAAGTTTTCTATAAGAAACATACCAAAACGAATAATTGTCTACAATATTATCGGTTAAAACTTTTGGGAAATCAATTAGAAAAAAAAAACTCTTGGGTGCGTAGCTGTGTACAGTATAACCTAGTACAGACCCAGGTTAACCCAAGTACAGTTTAAACCAATATAGTACAAACCATGTACTGACTTAATCAGTAAAGTCGAAACTAAGCGCAGTAAGAAATTACCAAATTGGGGTCCATTATGGCTTTGAGATATAATATTATTATATTAAACCTCTTTGTCCCCCCCCCCCGTTCAGTATTCTTTTGAGATGGCGCTAATAGAAGGTCCAACTTATATACTTACCGAAACCCTTGAAATCCGTGTTAATAATAATTCGACCCCCCTCTGGCGCGAATGTTTTGTGGGCACGTGCACACAACGTCTTTTGCTTGCTGCAGCGAGGCGAAGAAGCTGATAAATATTGCTGCGGTTGTTGTGAAACTTTTTTTAACGACGCAATATGCAATTTAAGGGTCTCAATTCCGCATATAAGTCTCCTCGAGGATTTTGTAGAACGAGGAATTTTCGTTTAAATTATTCATATCTTTTTGTATAGACTACACTTTTATGTTGTTCGACAATAGCTCGGCCGACCTACAAGTGTGTAGTATAATATTTAGATATATATTATTTAGGTTTATTTTTGTTTTTGTTTCAAATCTGTACAACTTATAATAATCGCCCTAAATCGTGAAAGTTATTATTATTTTTCTCGGTTTGCAGACACGTTATAATTTAGTTTGTGTATATAAATTTAAATTACGAAGAAAACCAAGAAAAAAAGATCTGAAGGAAATGATTAAAACAATTTTTTTTAATCCGATTCTAATAAACTTTATTACGTTTTCCTTTAAGACTGTCATTTTTTCAAAAGTTTGTTTTCCATAATTATATGCTAATAGCTTCTTTTGAGTACAATTTCCTCCAATTATCTTCTTTATTTTTTTTTCTCGCTCTCTTTCTGTAACACGAACGAGTTTAGTATTTTAAATATCCGATCGCTATTCAACTATATTGTTACAATTGTTTTTTTAAACAAGTGCATTTACAAGAACCGTTAACGCGTCAATTGGTTTATTATAGCGTTCCATTCGAGTTAATTATTTTAATTAGACTGAAATTAATTAACGTCAATAATTGCGGACTTCAATCAAAATGCAAATTTATAGAAATTAATATTCCTTGTCGGTTTTTTTTTTATGTTGATTATTAAATTTTCGCAACGCTATACCTACTCCTTATATATTATTTATTTCCTTCGACTTGAAACGTTGCATTTAAAATAAAAAAGTGTCATAAAACGGTTTTTATGTGTTTTTAGTTT